AATAGCAGAAAGGAGTTGCAATTGCGCCCGAAATTCCGAAATTTTGAAAAAAAGCGATGAGCATTTACGACTACTCCTGAAGATATCTTCGGTTCGCATTGTAAGCACGCTACAGAATCTCGCGCATCATGTTAACGGTTTGTATTCATTCATTGCAAACTCAACTCTTTAAAACACTTTTTTCGCTATTTGCGGTTTCTGTGAAAGAAGAGGAATGTTACTCCTTTTTCTTTCGCCGAAGACAAAAATTATCCCTGTCCATAAGCAACGCCTCAAATTTCAATTCAGTCTTCACGTAAACTCAGACCCCACGTACGGACACATGGTAGCTCTGGTTTGCTAACTCGGCACTAAAAGAAAGCTGAATTTTTTGGAGAATATTTTCTGACCACGTGTAATGTCGAAAAATTAGATTCAACTTCTACCTATTTCTAGACGTCACATGTAAATTTTAACCAGTCAGAATATTTCGGAAATTTATTTGCACATATCATACAGTCGAGCAGTGCACGTTGTTAAAAGAAAGCGCTCGTTAGGCGGAACTGCACAAAATGCATGATCGCACCAGCTACGCATCGTGCGCACCATTATTTATCCGTAGGGAAGCATAACATCATCATTCGTGGTCATTACTTTTTTTTTCCATCGTCGATCCCTTTCAATACCTCTCCCCTATAAAATGTCCTAAGTAAATTTGAAATTCTAGACTGAAAAGCCTGAATGAAAAACTTAAGCCCTTTTGTTGCGGAAGAAAAATTTTAGTGGAATTAAATTCTGATCCAGATATTCAGAAAGAATTCGGTGGTTCATTGTTTGCAACAGTTCTTCTGTCTTATCTGTTTGGGTTTATAGCAATTCTAATGTGGTATAGTTGCCCTGCATTATCTTAGTCGCTTCTTTTTCTTTCTCTTCGTCAGCTGACAGATATGTCAGCTTTACCTGAGAGGAAGATTGAAACGGAAGTATCCGTATATCAAATATTTATTCGTGCCTCAGGTATAAACAAGAGTGCGAATATTCAACTGTAGAATTAAAAACCCAGACTCGAACGCACCGGGCGAGCCGGTACGATCATGCGTTTTTGCAACAGAATTGAAATAATTAGGTTAACTGCATGAGTGGTTGTTTTTCTTTACACCCACCTTGTGCTCTCAATACCGTAACTCATCGTAAATTTTGCATGAAAGAAAATCAACAATATCCGCTTAGCGGTAGTTTTTATGCGTTTTGTGCTGTGTAACAGCAGTACAAAACGCATATTGTTACGGGGTTGTCTGTGTGTTTTTTGTGTGTGTGTGTGGGTGTGTGTCCGCAGCAACTTGTCCGCAACTTTCAACTCGGGAACCACAAAAGCTAGGAAGCTGAAATAGGGTAACGTTTCCCACCCACGTGTGACCCCACAAATTTAAATTCAGCTTCCCCGTACCCACGGGTAACGTGTACGGCCGGACGTTCCCCACCCATGTGTGACCCCGCAAATTTAAATTCAGCTTCCCCGTACCCGCGGGTAAGACGTTCCCCACTCACGTGTGACCCTTCAAATTTAAATTCAGCTTCCCGGTACCCACGGGTAACACGACCCACGTGTGACTCCGCAAATTTAAATTCATCTTCCCCGTACCCGCGGGTAACGCGTACGGCCCTGTGAAAGTTTTTTAACCACGTGTGACCCCGCAAATTTAAATTCAGCTTCCCCGTACCCGCGGGTAACGCGTACGGCCCTGTGAAAGTTTTCTACGGGTAAGTTAATATCTCGGGAACCACGGAGTCTAGGAGGCTGAAATTTTAGCTACGTGTGACCCCGCAAATTTAAATTCAGCTTCCCCGTACCCGCGGGTAACGCGTACGGCCCTGTGATTAGGGGTAAGTAAATATCTCGGGAACCACGGAGTCCAGGAGGCTGAAATTTTAGGGTAATGATTCACTGCCCATACTCAACCTTGCCCATTCAAAATCAGCCTTCCCTTACCCGCGGGTAATACGTACGG